ACCTCCCAAAACAGGAGGAGCTGAAACTCACCCTTCCGTCTCAGTTCTGGCGTGTCTTTTCTCCAGGACTGTTCCCTGCCATGACTTCACTCCAACCTGAGAGGGTTTCAGTACCAGCAGAATAACTCAAAGCAGGAGTTTTCTAGATTTTTAGGATATTAGCACATCTGCTCAGACTACAAGCTGAAAGCTCCTCATTGAATTTTATTTTATCCCAAGGAATCTCATGGTTGGGAGAATACGTATCAACACTGTAAGCCTTATGATGACCTGTGCTGTTTGGAAATGGTGTCCTGAAGAGCTTTCCACAGTGTGAAGTGTAGTTGTCAGTGAATAGCCAGAGCACTGGCTGATGAAGTAAGGCAAAGGTGGGTGACGCCTTCTGCCCCCCACCCCGATCTCAGTCAGCCTGTGCTCTGTCTGCAAACCCAACAGGCTTATCCCAGAGGACACCTGGGACACATAAGTCTGCTTTTTTAGACCCCCTTCCTAAAAGGCCTGATGCACAGACTTAATCAACTTGGGTGTTATTTTGGGGGCAGATATTTACTAGATTTTACTTGCTGTGTGGTAGATATTGTATATCCCTGTTTGTGGAGGATTAAAATGTTGTTAAATAGTTATCAGGAGCCTTGATTTGGGGTCAGATGTAACTGGATTCAAATCCCAGCTCTACCTCTTGCTAGAAGATTATTTCATTTCTTTATTTCCTTGCCTAAACCATGGGGTTAATTATGAATACCTTCCTAGGAAAGTTATAGAAACTAGATTGAGATAATGTGCCTGACATAGTAGGTGTTTAAAAAAAAAAATAAAAAGAGTAGCGGCCCCAGAGCCTGGTGTTAATGAATCATATGCTCACCAAGGCAGTTGCTGTGTAACCTCTCCCCCCGCCATGGAGCATCCTTCTGCACTCACGCCTACCCCACTCTGTCTCCACTACAGCAGCCTTGATGGGCCCCTTGCAGCTTCTGCCTGCAACGCTCCAGCAGCAACACAGCCCTGTCCACTGTTAGGCAGTTCTAATTATTAGTTATTTCTCCCCCTCTACTGAAGTTGAAATCTGCCCCCACCCCTTGTAGCCTTCTCCCATTTTCCATACTCCTGTGATGTCTGTGCCTGTTCTCCTGGGCTTTGTAGTTGAAACAGTCTAATAAAGAAAACAAGGCTCCCTTGGAAGTTGACTTCAGACATGTGTCCAAAAAAGAATTGCATCTGATTTTCCTCATGTGTTGTGCCATGAGGAGCAGTAACAAGGAACCTCTCCAGAGTCTAAAATAATGACCTCATTGTTGGGCCTACTGACTCCACTTACCAGATTGCTGTTGGTCATTTAAACAAGCCTTAATTGTGATCCTACTGGGTCTTTGGGTGTCTGAAACTATTGTACTCAGCCAGCAGTTGTGTATGATTTGGGACTAGGCTATCTCATAAAGAAGAAATTTGCTTTGGAGTTCAGAGGAAAAGGCCCTGGATGAGGCCTGGAGTAATTGGAGAAGACTTCATAAAAGAAGTGAACTCTGAGCTGACCCTCTAAGGATTTGTAAACTTAAACATGAGGAGGAAGGAGAGTAGGCCTTCTAGAGAGTTCATCAGCACAAGCAGAAGGCAATTCATTTATGAGATAGCCAAGAGCAAGGATATGTTTTGTAGGTTTCAGTGACCCAGTATGAAAAAGTATCATTTAAATTTTCCAAGAAGTTCAAAGAGCAGTTTTGTGATTTCCTGCTGCTGCCCCCACAGTTTGCTTCTGATACCTTCCTAAGCCCATTTGAGAGCAGATCCTTGGCAAGGAGCACTTACTCTCTCCCCCAGAATGTGTGCTTAGTTTTAATGTAATTATGTAGAATTGCTGGCATTTGTGTTACCAACAGTCATCTCATTGTAACTGAGACTTAGTGCACACCCTCTATCTCACCTTCTGTATAAAGGAGAATGTATTTGTAGGAGATGCTCTCTGGAGGATTATGTACAGGAGATATCAACTTTCAAACTACCATCAAAATAAAGCAATCTGCACGTTTTGTGTTTTATCCTCCCTGTTCCATGAAATCAGCTATCAACCTAAATTACCATCCCAAAGAGAGAGATCTATGCATCCTGACACAGTTGCCTCAAACATAACCATCAGGATCAATATATTTCACATCTCATCAGATGTCATATTTGAAGAACTCTTCTTGCTTTTCTTGGCTTTTGATTCAGACAGGGCTGATTCCCATGGCTCACATGGCTTTTTCATGGAATTTTTCTTTTACTTAAAAAAATCACTCAAAAGATTTGCTGTTTACCGTTTACCACTGGCCTTCTTATCTTCTCACCTGCCAAAATAAGATGCATTATCTTGGGACTTTGGAAAGGGTTGTCTCCCCCTGAGGTGGAACAGGGCAGCTGTAGCCACTGTGCAGTAGACCCAGCACCTGGGTACCCTGCAATTCTGATGCTAACTACCTGGGGTTAGGTCACATTTCGCAGGATAAGAACAAAGTCCCTTACTGCTCTTATAAATACGGTGCTTGTACTCATATCATCTCACCAGAATTTCACTGCATAGCATTCTTCTTTCCATTTCACTTGGGAGGAAGCCAGGCCCAGGACCGCTTACCTAGTTAGTGGTGGAGCCAGAACTAGCACCCAGATTTTTCTGACATTGACTCTTTCCCCCATATCTTGCCACCACATGAGGTATCTTTCAGGGAGCCCGGCTCTGCCATCATTTCATCCTTTCTTTCATTGATTCATTTACCCAGCCCTACTCTGTGCTTAACACACATGTGAAAAACCTGCAGTATTAACACATTCTGAGGTACAGGTATAGGGAATGTGTGAATACTTGGGGCTTTGCCTGCAGAGTGTCTGTCCTTGGAGAACTTTCCTCATTCATTCCTCCAATATCACGGCAGTTTAGTTTGTGACCTAGTTCCATAGCTTGATAGACCTCCTTTAGGTTTATTTCTCTTCTATGTACCGACATTTTTATAATCCCAATCTTAGTTGTAGAAAGGGAATTATAGCATGTTGGGCAACTTTGAAGAGAAGTACATTTAGTATGAACAAATTTTTCCTTTAGATTAGTTTTTAAATTCAATACGTCAAATTTTTAGGAACTTGCAGCATTCTCTTTGTGCCATCCTGAACACGGTAACTTATAAAATTAGTCGTGTCGCAAGATGCCATCTGATATTGCAGTTTTATTTTTCCTCTTGATTGTAAAAGCGGATCTTATTCTATTTGTCTTTCTGATTTTA